AAGAGCAATGAACATTTAGTGGAAGGCAAAGAAGAAATATAATACTCTTTTACTAATCTGTCACCTAAAGTAGTCATTTTGAATTACCTGTTGGATCTCTGCATTCCTTTGCAGGTTTTAGAAGTTAATACGTAAAAAATGAAACTGGCACATAGGATCAAATGGCTTTTTCTAATAACATATCCTGCTGCCTTACTTCTATTCAGGAATGGATGCACAGGTATCATATGCATTCCACTCAGAGCGCAAGCTTCATCCCGAAAAATTCAAAAACCAGCTGATTAATCAGGTAAAAACTGTGTAAGATTTAAGAGTTCATAATCCCCTATGATTATATATCTTCGCAATCAAATGTTCTGATAGTTCAGAAAATTGTGACTGATGAATCGCTATTATTTCTGTAATTTTCCATCACTCACAATGATTTTTGAATGGATCAGAAATTTTGGTTTTTATGAAACTAGCAAAAGTCTATTGTGTAAACAGATGCTTCCTTTTTTGCATCACAGAGTACATATGCAAAGCTTGTAGGCCAACAAGGATGGTTTTTTGCTTCCCTTGTTCACCCTTCATCAAGGTTAGATTATATTCTTGTCCAGTAAAACTGGCAAATATAACCAATTTTTTTACATGGATTAGGCTATCTTTGCTAATGGTTATCCTCTCTTTCCCGGTAATCTTTTATTTATTTTTTTTTTCTGGAAGCTAAATTACCATGATACAGGAACATGGCTCAACTATGCAAAGTTAAGGTCATGAAAAAGCACGGTGAATGGCAAGATCTCCAAATCCCTCAGAGGTAACATTCCTCTCCCCTGCAGAAATACTTGACGTTTTTAGTTACGCATAAGGGTGTGTTTATACTGTGCTTAGATTTGTGTCCGTGAATTCGATTAACTTTTTCCTTTTTTCGGAAGTCAATGAAAACTATGCTCACATGCATGAGTTGAGAACAATGCTAGATCAAATAGCTTCAGATCAAACCCTATATGAAAAATGAGAGTCAACTAATATACTAATATGCGGTCTTTTATCCATACAGCATCCGGTCGATCATTTGCCTTAACCTGCCGAGCTTTTCCGGAGGTCTAAATCCTTGGGGAACTCCAAATAACAGAAAACGACGCGATGTTAGTAGTCAGATTTCCTTGTCTTCATATTTTCTCATAATTCAGAGGCACGGATTCAAACCAAAAAAAAAACAAAAATAAACACACTTTTTGTTTCTGTTAATGTTACACAGAGAGACTTAACTGCCCCATTTGTAGACGATGGGCTCCTGGAAATCGTTGGTTTTAAAGACGCTTGGCATGGACTCGTCTTACTTGCTCCAAAAGGTCACGGGACTCGACTTGCACAGGTTCGTCTTCAACTTTTTACATTCATTATTTTTTTCCGCAAATGCGATTAAACGATGATTTGTTTGCAAAATAATTTATTTATAAAAAAAAAACTAAAAAAGTAGTTTTTTTTTTAAAAAAAATTTCGCTACATGGCAGGCTAATCGCATCCGATTCGAGTTCCGAAAAGGTGGGGCAGAATCCACGTACATGAGGATCGATGGGGAGCCGTGGAAGCAGCCACTCCCAGTCGATGATGACACAGTGGTGGTCGAGATTTCGAACCTTGGCCAGGTTAAGATGCTCGCCACACACGATTGCCGAGCGAAGAGCTATCTCGACCCCTCATCTCCTTTAGCGCAAGATGACGACAAGGACAGTGATGACGAGTCTGTGGGGGCCGAGTGGCGCAAGTTTGGGGCTGCCGACACATTCCGGATCCCGGATGACGTGGACATTTCTCAGCTAAGTTGAATCACCTGTTCCTTTTTTTCTTTCTTTTTTACTTTATACAGATTTATTNCAAACCTGGAGGAAGAAAAAAAAAACAAGAATTAAAGCATAGGAAAACAAAAAACTTTTCTTGTCTACATTGAGCACAGCACAAAACTGGAGAAAAAGAAAATGAATTAAAGCATAGAAAATAAAAACAAAAAAGGATGAATGTGTATTAGATACTAGAGAATGTCTAACGAGCAAACAAGAAGGAAACTCGTTCACTCTCATAATTTTTGAATGGTATTTATAGTATAAAATTTTACAACTAAAACGTAAATCTCAATTTTACAATTATTACATAGATCTCCAATAATAATAAACCTTGCAAACCCATTTTCATGGATTCACATATTTGCACATTTATCTAATTTAATTATTACTGCCAAACTACAGATTAAACTTTGAACATAATCACATCCAGTAAAGCTATTTATGATAAATAGCAATTGCGATTTAAAATCAACTAGTTTGAAAACGATGACATGCTAGTAAATCAATAATAAGAACATTTCACGTTTACTGTTTACAAATACAATATTATCAGTTACATATATATTATTAATTTAATAAAATGATACATAAACTCAACAACATAAAATGAAACATGCACGAAATCCCATCTTATTAACATGAGTTTAGTAAAGCCTAAACAAAGCTAATTACTTAATTACCAACTGTAACGAGATTAAATCTTTATACTACCTTTGTCCAAATAAAATAATAACAAAAAGTTACATTTTTTCTTTTCAAAACTATATTNCTTAAAAAAAAAAAAAAAAACATTTCAAGTGAACGTACATGTTGGCTTCCCATTGGCTGCATGAGGCCATTACACTGTGTTATCTCCACTGCTCGCCACGTGTCCCTCTGCCCATGCTCCCAATTTCCCATTTTACCCTCAACATCCACCATATATACACCTTCATCGTTCCCTGATCAACAGAACAAGATACAGAAATAACAAGAGAATTAAGTCAATTATCAGTCTTGAAGGAAAAGTACAAAAAGAAACAGAAAAATGAGCTACATGAGCAGAGTGTACATGGCGGCCGCCGTGGCGGCGGTGAAAAGCCACTCCGACCAAGGGCAGAAGCTCAAGTCCCTCAGCCACGCCAAGAACCGATTTTTTTCCGGCAGGCAAGGCCCAGATGCGGCTGATCTCCGGCCTTTCTCCGTCGTGGTCAAATCCGGATCCGAAGGGGTTGTCGGCGCCCGCGATGAGCAGAGGAGCCAGACGGAGGAGTCTCTCCGGCAGGCCATGTATTTCAATTGCTGGGGACAGGGATGAGGGCTAAAATCGTCAATATCGGTGGCCCCAAGGCTGTAGTTGTAATTTCAGTAGATGGTGTAAAAAAGAGACTGATAGATTTGAAAATGAATCGATGTGCAGAAAGTGGAATTAGTTGTATTATGTAGGGCTGGGAAGGCAAATTATGTATATTGTACACTGTCTCGACTCTTGATGACCCTCGTAAATTGAGAGGTGTTAATGGAAATGAAATTCGAAAATTGTGTCGCCAAATTATCTAGAAATCCTATGCCTGAAGCTCATTTTGATTAGTTTTGTTTGGATATGTTAGAAAGAATTGATACAATTTTTTTTTTTAAAGCAGCTAGCCTTATAAAAATCTTGGAAGAAAAATGAAACTGAAGATTAGATATATTGTATGACATGAAGAACTTTGAGATGCAAAGATGTTTGATACATAAAAATGTAACATAGACATAGTGATCGAAATTAGCTATTTTGATGTTTCTTTTTCGTTTTCCTTTTGGAATTAAAATTCAACATAAGTCAAAAAAGCTTAACCAGCTTGATCAAATTTAACCCTCGAAAAAGTAATCAAGTTCATAAATAGTCTATTAATGGAGAGTAAGCTGCACATGCATCGAGCCTTGGTCTTATCTATACGATTCTATTGACCTTATCAATCCTAAGCTTAATAAATCGACCTTATCAATCCCAGACTCGACTCTTGACCCGATTTTTGATTGACCTTATCACTCCTAGGCCCGACCCAATTTTTGTCAAATCGAACTTATCAATCCTACGGTCGACTTATTTTTGAAATTATCAATTGAAGCTTCGATTTTTTACCTTACCAATCGGAGCTTTTTGCCTTTCTCTTTTTCTTTTTTCTTTATCATTTTTTTCCTTACGACTCAAGGAGCTCAAGTTTGTAAGGCTGGGCTCTATTGGCAAGAATTATACAAATACTCGAGTTTGTAACGCTACGCTGAAATATACCAATGCTTAAGATCGAACTGAATCGGCTCAAATTTTCAATAAATTTTTCAATATATATGTATTTTTTTTCAGTTTATCTTAATGTTGGCTCGAATTAAGAATATTTAGGAAATTACACTAATATGCGTACAACTAGTCCAACATTTAAATTATAACAAACAACTTTCTGAGTTCAAATCAAACTCGAGTTTAAAGTGGAATATTCAATTATAACAAACAAGTTCAAGTTTTAAATTAATGAGGTGCTCGAGTTCGGCGTGGTCAATTTGGAACCCAACTCAGAGCATTTGTTTGCAATCAATTTTGAGGCCGCATACAAATTATAAATATGTTCAAATTTGAGGTGCTCAAACTCGCTTTGGTCAAATTGTCGCCCGACTCGCGCATTCGCTTGTAGATTAAGTTCAAGTTTGAAGTCGAACAATCAAATTATAACAAAGTTCAAATTTGAGTTGCTCAAGCTCGGCTAGGTTAAAATGGAGCCCAACTCGCGCTTTGCACATCAAGTTCAAATTTGTGGTCGAACATTCAAATTATAAAATGATTCAAGATTGAGGTGCTCGAGCTTAATTGGGTTAAACTGCTCGACTTGCACATTCGTTTGTAGATCAAGTTCAATGTTTGAGGTCAAACATTCAAATTATAACAAATAAGTTCGAATTTGAGGTGATTGAGCTCGATTGGGTTAAAATGGAGCTCGACTTGGTCAAATTGGAAGCTCAATTCACGCATCGTCTGCAGATCAAGTTCAAGTTTGTGGTCGAACATTCAAATTACAACAAATAAGTTCAAATTTTGAGTCGTGCTCTAGAGGTGTTGAAAAATCGTGTAGGTGCATTTGAGTCATTTTAACACCAAATATTTATGCTTTTTTTTCTTCTCAATTGTCCTCAACATCACTTTCGAGAACTGAACGCCTCCATTTTCAGAGCATGAACTATTACGCCGCATTGTGGTATTCGCCCAGACATGGCGCACAACGAATCTCCTTCTCCACCTGCAATTCCTTCCCCCAACCATGGTAAATTCTCGAGAAACTCTCACTCTTTATTCTTTTTACTTTTCAGTTTTGTAGTTGGCTTATGTTATAGATTCCATTAGACCTCATATTTTTTCTGGTCGTTTTTTATGTGATTTTTGAGGATATCCCTTGAATTAATGGCGCTTTGATTATGGTAACTTGATTGATAAAAATTCAATCGTTTCCTGAGTGACGATGATATACTGACAAGCTAGCTGTTTCGGTTTTCTTAACTTGTGCAATGTTCATCATCGGTTGAAAAACAAATAAAAAATAAAAAAACTTTGAAGTTTAAAAAGCATAATTGAATGCATGAAGATGAATGACCCGCTTGATCTGGACGAATCTGGCATCTGTTTTCAAACGTGAGCTGGTAAATTTAATTTTGATTTTCATGATAAATAACCACCGAATTAGCATTTGATCAAAATTCGTAGCTTTTTAGATCCGAACCAAGAACCGGGTTCTATGTGGTATTTGTGAATAAATGGTAAACAGTAAGGCTATGATTGACTGATGAAATACGAATGACTCTAAGCTTTTCTGCAAATCCTAGATAAAATTTTAATGTCACATGAACTCAAACAATTAGTCAAGTACTGTTTGAAGCTGATCCATATACCTTATCAATGAAGGTAAAAGTTGATCGAGCTAAACTGGTCAGCTGGAAACTGTTAAAATTTCTATTTACAGCGACTAGTTTTCTGTATAGAGTGTATCTATCCTAAACTAAACGTGTCTATTTGGTTCTCAGTTTATGTTTTCTCTAATCTTGCATGCGCATTTCTCCTTTGTCGGGCTTAGTTGGTTTTACTGTATCAAGAAAGCTTCATTAAGTTGAACTACTGATTATCTGCACTATAGACTATGTTTTGTTTCTAGATATTTTTGGCCATTATCATTCAGAATACTTTAATTATGCCACAAAACTAAAGTCTGTCCTATTTAAGTAGTTCTCAAGTACTGCAGTTTGATATGGCCTTGATTGATTATGAAATTGATTTGCTGAAATAATGAATAATCTGAATGGTAAGCTCAAATATACACAGTTACAAAGATTTGAAAGTAGCAACAAACAATGAAAATAAGCAAGACTGTGCCCCGGCTGCTAGATTCTCTGCTTAGTATAATTAGTTCTAAATGTATATTTTAAATCGGCGAATCTATATATCTAATGTTTTTCGATCTGGCAATTATTTCGGATCTTCCATAGCTTTGCCGACAGATTAATTAGCTGCTTGCAATTTTTTATTTTTAAAAAAAAATTAACTGCTAGACATATTAGAAATCATGAACTACCATATAGATCACATATATTGAAATTGAAGTCAGTTAGACACGGAAACAAATCAACAATAGTCAAATAGTGGAAAAAAAATAAATCTTGAATTACAAACTTAGTAAAGTGGGAAGATGCAATCATGCAAGTTTACACCATCTCAAACCAAATACGAATAGTCAACAACAACAACAACAAAAAAATAAAATAAAATAAAATAAAATAAAATAAAAAGACCATGAACACTACTAAAACATTCGATTTTCATCTTTCGTCTGCACGAAATTTACAGTTTGATCCCCGTTGCCTTGCAGAGGGGGCAACTATTCTTGCGCATCAACCACTTCGCGATGCATCTTGCGTGAAAATCATGCCCGCAATCGAGACCAGCAATCTTATCATGGTCTCGTAACAGACAATCCTGGCACACCACACATATCTTATTTGGATCATCATCTTCAGTACACTGATCATCCTTCAGTTTCAGATTCTTACTGATAATCTCTTCACACAGCCCTTCATCTCCTTTTTCCTCTACTTCTCGAGCATCAAGAATCAAAGAGCCCTCACTGACCATGGACGAGTAGTTCCCGTTTACTCCCCGGCCCGAAAAGCTTGCAGAGGGGCCCGTTAACTGATTGCGGTTTTCATATGCGGCCCGGCCCGAAAAGCCCTCTTGTCTGTACGGCTGTGGCTGCATGTATACTTCTTGTGGAGAATAATCAAAATCCATAAATTGATGGTAACCTTCGCTCTCAGCCCGGCCCGAAAAGCTTGCTAGGCAGTTTATCATGTGATGAATGTGTGAGAGCTCGAAATCGGAAGGCCACGGTTGATAATGAGGGTACAGAGGAACAGAGAACGGAGAATGCAAGAAGAGTCCTGGCTGAAAATACCCGAAAAACGGAACCATATGAGCTTCTTCTTGATGAAGATGATGATGATGATACGATGATGTTAAACCCATGTTGTAATGATAAGTGTCTGCAATAGGAGAAAAAACGTGGTAATTCTCAGAGGCAGCCATGGCAGATTCCTTCTTTCTTTCTTCGAAAAAATGGTTTTGTATATTTGCTGTTCTTGTGTTTTGAATATGGTGATTGGTGAGTATACGTAGATTCAGTGTGTGGATGTATTGTTATATATGTGTTTGGGTGTTGCGTGCGGTTTCTTTACCTAATCTTGGAAGGTGTAGAGTGGAATCATATAATTTCGAGGATTAATTACTTTCCTAATAATGGTAGGTTTTAGATTGAAAGAATCATTTACTCTTGAATGTTAATTACTTTCCTTCCGTAGAAAGGTAAACTAATAATATTTGATATTATATTGTTTATGTTTAGTATGAATAATAATATTTTGGGACAAGGCAGGGTAGTTGTTTTTTACTGATTATGAAATATTTATTATTTATTTTTTTATTTTATGATTAATGTAGTTCTTGACAACTAGAAATGGTTTTGTTCCTTATTTTCATAAATAATTTTGAAAACATTCTTTTTTCAAATAATAATACTTTTAAATTAAAAAGTGATATTTTAAACAATAATACAATATATTAATTAATACCTCAGTAAATCAATGAGCTTCAATTTCAACAAGCTTTTAGTTTTTTCGAGGTTTTCAACAAATCCAAACATCATATACCTTTCATTGCTAGCTCAAACTTCGACGTTAACTAGCATTTCATCATGTGCACATGCACAAATTGCGCAAAAAAGTAACACAAGTTTTTTTATATAAAAAAAATACTTGAATGAAAAGTTATATTTTAAATAAAAATAATATACATGTGGAATTTACATATATTAATGACAATTGTTGTATGACTATAATGAATAATAAAACTTTTTGTATCCTTTGAGCATTAAATATGAATTTAAAATGGACAATCTCATATACCATACAAATTAAAGGTTTTTAAGAGATTCATTGTGTAAATTATATTAATAATTAATTATATAATAAAATATATGTATAATAAGAATTATTTCATCTAATAGTTGTTTACGTATAATTTGATGTCAAGCTTTGAAATGAAATTACGATTAAAAAAAGAAATATGTAATATTATATTATAACGTTTACATCGAAATACAATACTTCATTGCCATTACCAATATAACAATAACACAATTAAATTAGTTTCTAAAAGATAATCATTGCAACTTTTATTAAATATTACAATATTAATTACAAAATTAAAAATGTGAACACAACGTACAAAAGAAATTAAAACTTATTATATAGAGCGAAAAACGAGTTTGGGCGCAAAAATATAGGCCATTGCATTAGTAATAACCTACAATTATATATATATATATATATATACATATGTTATAAAAGCTATTACTACTATAAAACTTCTACTAAAAGGCCTTATATTATTTGCTCTATAAAGTATATTCGACTACATAAGCTAAATTTATTAAACCTAACTCTATAATATCTAAGCTAAATTTAATAAAGAGAATGCTAATTGATTTGTTGCCCTTTTCACATTTACCCAACAAAAGAAATTCCTTTATTTACTATTATATTATATACACTGTAAATTAAAAAAATTGAAAACCCCTGCGAGTTTATGCTACAGTGACGCTATGAACTCTGGTAGGGTTTAAGGGTTCAAACTGCCCCGCGCCGAACAAGCCTCACCTTCCGCTTCAATTCCTTTTGTCTAAAATAAAAATCACATTTATATATATATACATTTCCTTCATGAACCCAGAAAAAAAGCTATGAAAAATTTAACCTTGGAAGCTTCCAATTTACAGGCTGAAAATGGTGGGTTTTCTGCGTAGTCCCACTGCTGATGGAGCTGTAAAGGAGGATAAAGAGGACCCCGAACCCTTAGTTTCAGCAGACATTTGTAACTCAGAGCTCGAGGAGGTTCCGTCATCTTTCACCGATTGTTTTCTCGATCTTGACGCCATCGCCGAGTGGTTCTTGGAAGGGAATCCAGAGCACTGCGGCGACCCGGGTATGGCCGATTCGGGAACTGACCCGATTGAGTACGGATCGTGCATCGGCGAATTAGGAAACCCAAACGACTGTCTCAAAGCGGGTGGTCATGACATTTTACAGAAATGTGAAGAAAATGGAGTTCCCGAGAAAGGTGTCAAAACGGGCCGAGAGGGTTTTTCGGGGGTTGACGGGCCGGGTGAGGAATTGGGGGGTTTGATTGAGGAACAGCTTGGGAAAGTGAGTCTGAGTGATTCGAATCGAGTGAATCCTGGTGAAAAGGCTAAGCTTGAAAATGGTGACAGTGACTCGTCTTCTAGAAGCAGTGATGACGAGGACAGTGGTAAGAAGAGAGTTGAGGTTCGGCTCCCAGTAGAAGAAGCCGAGAATGTGTTGTCTGATGATGTGGACGAGATGGTCGGTTGGAGTGATAACGAGGATGATGTGTCTGAACCAGTCATGTCCAAGAACGAGCTAAAGGTCAGTGGCTGACTGTGTTTTTATGTAATACAATTCTGTGTTAATATTGAGCTGTGTGGTTTGAGCTGTTGAGTGTTTGAATTACTTTTTTCGTTTTACCAATTTACGATTATTCAACTGTAGGTGAAGAAAATGGTTTTGCTAGATCATGATGTTAAGTTCATTAGTTGTGATTTGTTGAGACCCGATTGGACTTGATAGATATATGGTTGGTGATTAAGTTGCAGCTGTTGCGAATATAGTTGCTTCAGCTGTTGATGACACGTGTGCTGAATTTGATGAGCCTATTGTTGATTTGTGTGCATCTGCTAAGAAGCGAATGTTGATATTTATTTTCATTGCCATGGTTTTCTTGTTCTTGGATTCTGATAGTGGAAATGAGTCCTTTCGTCTGCCGTAGTTGTGTTTTATGGTTTGCCACATGTTCAAGACTGCATCACATTTTTCTTGATTGTAAGTTGCAATTGATACTTTTGTTTTTTTAAGCTCCTTTGTGTAATTGTCTCTAATTCTCTGTATGCTTTGCTGTATGTTCGCTATATACCACTCCTCATACACCTTTTGATGTACCGGGTAATAAAGGTAATGATAAATGAAATAGAAAGTGCAGGCACTAGTTGTTTGAGCCTTCTTTCTTGTTTTTATTCTGCTTTCCTTTTCGATGAATTACATTCATACATAGAAAGTTTCGTGCTCCTTATAGCAAGTGCCACCTTACAGATTTGAATGGAAAAAGGAAAATATTTTAAAGAAAGAAAAGACTAATTGATCCCGCATGCATCTACATTTCTTATGTGCATCCTAAATTTTGCAACAAATTGATNAAAAGCTCTTGTTTTGACTCATCTAATTATGTGAACTAGCGGCCGTATATTTTTTTCTGATATAAACACTCAGACCATTAACTGATAGCATCCTATCAATATGCATTGCCTTCTATACGAAGCAAAAGAAGAAAGCTTATATTTTTCAACCTCCTTTTAATTTCCCAGGTTCTCCCTCCAGTTCCTCCCGTCAACGTCACCCTTCAACCGCATCATGAAACCCTTCCAGTTGGCGTAATTTTGTCGGTAAAAGTTATTTTCGTTATTATATGACATGAAAAATGATACCCCATTTGTAATTTTTTCTATATCAACTAATTCCTCCCCATTGATCAGATAATTGGTGCTCAAGTGATTGTTGAAGGTGTCGAAAAGCACAATCCACTCAACGAGGGCTCGATTCTTTGGGTCACTGAAAGCCGATCACCTCTCGGCATAGTCGACGAGATATTCGGGCCTGTGAAGAACCCTTACTACATCGTGAGGTACAATTCGGAGAGCGAAGTCCCAGCTGGAATCGAGCAGGGCACTTTGGTCTTTTTCGTCGAGGAGTTTGCAAGCCACGTCCTGAACGACAAGAGTCTATACCAAAAAGGATATGATGCGTCTGGTGAGAATGACGAGGAGCTTTCGGACGAGCTCGAATTTTCAGATGACGAGAAGGAGGCCGAGTATCGGAGGATGCTGAAGATGAAGAAAAGGGGAACTGATGAACCGAAGCCCGCGAACAAAAGAAAGGAAAAAAGGCGGGAAAAGAAGCTAAACAGGAACTGGAAGAACTATAACCGAGAGGACCCTCCACCAAAAACTCCGCAAAGTAGCGAAATTGTTTGGAATCGAGAAAATTTTTCACGCGCTTCGGCCCCAAATCGTGATAATCAAGCTGTAGCACCTCCATTTCAATCTCAGGGCCTCGTTTTTGGCCCGCCACATGGAGTTTGGAATAATAATAGGTTTCCACATCAACAACAGGGACAAAATGTGCTGCCGAGCAATGGGGATATGATCTGGATGCAACAAAATGTGCCATTTCAGTTTTTTCACACACCTCTAGAGACTAACATGGCTTTCCAGCAGCAAATGGGCCCGATTCCCATTAACGGGCTGCATGGACAAACAAATTTGGTCGGGAGTCCAATGCTTGCCCCGCCAGCCTGGCCCGTTGCAAGCATGGGCCAGAATGTGTTGAATCCGGCCCAATTCGGAATGGGTTTGCACGGCCAGCAGGCAGCTGGACCTTTGAACGGCAGAGGACAAATTGGTGGTCAGCTTCATTATGGACCACAAAACGGTCAAAATCAACAGCTATCGAACGAGAGATTGAATTCCGGTCAATTCCGTGGTGGTGGGGGTGGTGGAAGAGGGCGGCAAAGGGGTGGTCGTGGCCGGTTTGGTGGCGGGAGGGGAAGGTTCCAGAGCCCCCAAAATGGTTAAGTAGTTTTCTTGGGATCATTTGTAACAGAAAAACTATATGTTGTCTGCTGGTTTTTGTTCATCTTTTGTTGTTTGGCAATGTTTAATACTCTCTTGGTTTGTTTAGTGGTTTAATATCGGGCATATGATTTTCTATAGCCACATTCTTGGAAGTTGGAACTTAAAATGGTTAACTTTTTGAATTGGTCATGAGAATTTTGAGCATGTTTCTTTTTCATTTTGTTAAAAGAGGAGTTGGGAGCTTTCGGGGAAGAAAAGCGAGTTTAAGTTCTCGTCCACACGGATAAAATAAAAGTTTAAAAGGTTAGGGCATGCTTGTTTATGAAAT